GCCATTCACGAAGCTTTAGACGGATGTTAACATTTTGATAAAATGGGGTCTGTTCGGAGGATTAAAATAAATATTTGTGTACAAATAAATACTTTTTTTTTTATTTTAGTATTTATTGATGGTAAGCGTATATGCATGGATAAATTTTGGTTACTTTTTATTGAAATTTTCAAACTGAATTACATATTTTATTATGGCTAAAAAGAAAGATACAATCATTGCAGGAGTATAAAAATAAAATATAGAATAACTGCCATAAATACAAATATAAATAAACTTAAAAATAATAGTGTCATTTTTTTTTTCTATGCCAGTTTTGCTAAATATTATTTCTATAATTTTACAATAGTGTTCCAGTTACATTTTAGGAAATTAAAGTGTTGTATAAATTGTGTAACGTAAAAGTTTCGTATTATTTTGATAAATTGAATGACTTATGAATTTCCATTACGAAAAAGTTTAAAATGATTAAGAAAATGGTTTCAATTGATTTTTTTTTTTTCATCTTTAAATTCGATGTTTAAATTTTATTAAAATGTTAACAAAATATTTTTTCACAAAGAACATTTATTTTGTTTTTTAAACTGGTTTAAATAAAAATAATAGTTTTACTTCCTAAAGATTTATGATATATAGCACTCCCTTCTTTTATAAAAATAATAATTATAATAGCCTTTTTAACTTATCTACTAATCTAAACTCCAAGAAATAAAATAAAATTTTAACAAACAAAATGTTTTGACAGGAATTCTAAAACGCTAAGTATATCTAAAATTATTCGAATGAAAAGTTAACAAGTAAAAAGTTGAGAAAATATTTGTATTTTTCAATAGTTATTAATTATTCATATACAAAAAATAAAAAATTTATTAGGATGTTTTTAACCTGGTTTAAGTAAAAAAAAATTTTTTTCGAACACGCTTTTTAATTTTTTTTTGTGATAAATATTCAGGACGCAGTCTTTTTTTTTTAATTTTAAGTTTTTATTTATTTATGCCAACGTTTCAACCCAAACATGTGGATCATCTTCAGGGCGTGGTTTGAGCACTGAGGGTGTTCAAGAACTCTAACACCCTCAACAGGGTTAAAAAATATAAAAAAAAACTGCGTCCTGAATATTTATCACCTGATGATATGAAGAACAGTCGACTAAGTTCCTTCAATATTTTGTTTTTTAATTATTTATCAATCTAAATTCTTTAAACTGCTTTTATAACTCTCTGTATACCTATAATTACTAGAAAAACTATATGGTTAAATAGTAAAAGTTATGAAGATATCCGTATTATCTAATCGCTTAATAAGCGTTATTAACAAAGCTTACTAAAACCAAAAAAAAATTAACATGTATTTCTATCAAGTTTTGAATTTTATAACTAAATTTTTACTGAGTTTGGTCTTTCTGAAGTAATAAGACATAATATAAAACAGAAACTCAAAACAATAGTATGCATCTTTTTACATATTTAATTGTAAATGCCAAATAAATTTCAACTTGGTTCAGCATTGCTGAGAGAATATTAAGTTGCGTGAAGCAGTTAAAAAAGAATTAATTCTTAATGGCCTAAATAGTTCCATATGCAAATCGTTTATCTGAATATGTATCAGCCGTTTACACATTCCGTATAATTCGATTACCTCAGTTGGATTGCAAATATCGATACATGACTTATGATAATTTCGGGCCGTTTGACACCTTTATAATATGCCAGCAGGTAAAAATTCTTTTAACTATAATGTAATATTATTACATAACCTGATAAGACGTTGCCTAACTTTCATTCAGAAATCAACAAAGCAATTGTGAATGATTGGGTTGAACCAGGAGCTATTTCGGAAGAGATAAATACAGTGTTCCGGTCGTAATGAAGTTTAATAACGTCAGCTTTCACTGTTCTCGCCCGATCTAGGAATCAGTGGATAGGATACAGGTAGCATTGTCTATATTATATTTTCCCTTTTGATCAGCTGTTTAATATAACTGAATTTATCTATTATACATTATACATAGGCAAACGTTAACATTATATATCATTCATAGTAAATTCTTATCATAGGCGCATACTTTCCATTTTAATTATGGGGGCGATGGACAAAACAAAATTTTAAAAAATGGCGGTAGTTTATATTTTGTGTAAAAACTCAACAAAATCATTGTTAACCAAATTGGAAACAGCTTTCATAAAATAGAAACATTTGTTAGTTATTTGGCAATGATTACTTTCTATTAGCAACAATTGAATATATTTGTTGTATTATCAAAGTTGTATGTTTACAAGTTTACGTTTCGGAATATTTACTCCCATCTTCAGAACCACAATCCCAATGATCTTGTGGATGCAAGGCTTAAAAATAATGTGGCAGACACCCAATAATTAGTCTAAAAGCAAGATGTTGCTCTAGATGTTATATACCTAGGTTTATTATAACATGAATTAGAAACTGACGATAGAGCACATTAGTTTTAAGCCTTGCATCCACAAGATCATTGGGATTGTGGTCCTGAAGATTGGAGTAAATATCCCGAAACGTAAACTTGTTAACAGGCAACTTTTATAATACAACAAATATATTCGATTGTTGCTAATTGGAAGTAATCATTGCCAAATAACTAAGAATATCATACAACTTCCCAGGAAAAAGAAAAAAGAAGGAACATTTCTATAACTTTTCCAGCTATGTATTTTTAATTCCAAGTATTTTTAATTTCTTAGTTTGCACAACCTTAAAATAAAAATACAATGTTTTCACAGTCTAAGTAGTTATGTAAAAATGTATATAAAAACATTCCCTACTAAATATATATATACTTGGCTTGATAAAAATATTTTTTCCAATTTGATCGTAGAAAATTTATAAGAAAATAACATGAAAATTGAGATGAGAGGTGAATAAATCGTAAAATGTTTCTATATCATTATCCCTGTATATAAATGAAAATTTAAATGATAGGAATAATTAGGTCGTGATAAAATAGTTACGTTATATAGGACTTAGGCTAACCAGTTGACGTTTCTTAATCGATTTTATTTTACATATTTCATTCATTAGCTTTTATTTTAGCTTCTTTGTTATCAATTTTATTTTATTTTTAATTCGAATCATTGAGGGGACAAAACGATATTCTTGCCCCCTCAACATTTTTATTGGGGGGGGGGGGGGTTGGCTATCGCTCTCCCGTAGTCTGTGCCTATGGTAGCGCAACTAATTAATTAGAGTAATTATAGTACGGTATTAAGAAATGTAAAAATTTTAAATAAAAAAATAAAATAAAAACGTAGAGTTATAGAATAGGTTAAGTTCCCTGACTCATCTTAACTTATCGATGGAAACCATGGCTCGGCAGTTCTATCTACTTTTGGAGACAATGGATTTCACTTTAGTGTTGTTATTACTCAATTTAATTTTTTTTTCAAAGTCGCTTATTTATTTCTCTGACCAGATTCCATGTCTTGGAATTTTCTTCTTTCTGCATGTTTGTATTTTAAGGAGATTTGTGTCTCATTATTATTTCTGGTAATATACTTAATTTTCGTGTAACGATTAGGTGATGTGGCTCACCCCATTTTTTTGTATTGAACTTATAAACTAAAACTTAAAGCTATAATTTAATTTCCAAACAAATTTTGCCAATCTTGAGGAGGTTTAAGTAGAATAAATAACTTATATTACAGCTCTAAATTGTAACTATCACATTTAGATCTACAAGAGAGGATGGCACACTTTCAAGCTGAAGCCCCCAAAATGGGAAAATATAACTATATCCAATGAAAAAAATATTAAAAAATTATTTCTAAAAGTATTATTACAGCTCGACGTTTCCGACTACTCCAGCACATACTAGACAAACGCTCTAAGCTCCCTGTCAATCACAAAAGACTCATATCCATAACTACAATAAGACCTATTTGGACTTACGGAATTGAGCTCTGGGGCTCCACTAAGCCATCGAATTCCTCTCGTATACAATCCTCACAATCCAAAATCCTTCGTAAAATCCTCACAGGTCCTTCACCTTTGTCACAAACAAAATCATCCATAACGACCTTAATGTTCCTTATGTTTCTGACCTGGCCCAATCCAGATACCTTTCCTTCCATAACAAACTTCAGAACCATCCTAACCCTCTCGTTTCTAACCTTGCTTCCTTCTCGATCCCTGATAACCCTCCGAGGCGTCTGAAAAGAAGATGGCCTCGAGATCTCCTTTTGTAAATACATTTTTAGAGTTCTACCAGTGGGTAGTTTCTCAACAAGTGATGTCATGCTATTATATTCTTTTGTTCACATTTACTGAATGTATTTTTACTTGTAATACAGTTGTAAATATCATCAATAAATAAAAATAAAAAAAAGTATTATTGTACGTGTAATTACATTTAATAGGACTTCAAGGATCTCTTAAACACCATTTAAAATAGGTAGTTAGGATATTTCTTTTTCTTCCTAAATAATTATATATATATATATATATATATATATATATCTTTTAAAAAAGCTTTCGGACTAAAGCCTTCCTCCCCAAATTTAATTATGGATCCGCTAGTTTGGGCTAGGGATGACTATTAAATAACAAAATAAGTCAAATGTACGCCTAAAAAAAGGCCTGGTAACGTTAGAAATCTTATATAAGTTGCTTTATTTATGAATATGAACATTGTTAACTTATTTTTTACATGTATATAGATATATAATATAATCATTTAATAATATACACCATAAAAGTTATATTAACCAAAGCTAAATAATTTTTGGAGATATTTAAAAAAAGTTTAAACAATAATTTTACCAAGTAACTTTATATCTTATCTTGTTACTATGCAGATTTTCTAGACATATAAGGTTCTTATTTCGTAGTAATAACTGCTTTCTAAGAAGAATCCTTCTTTTTTTGCCTCGTTAAATGAAATAACGTGCAATTCGAAGCCTGCCTGAGTTTCTTATCAGTACACGCTTATCGGGTTATTACGACTCCGGATGTTCTAATTTCTTTGATTATACCTTGTGCTGGGTGAAGGTGGTTATGGAAGGTAGTGGGTATTCTTGCTGATGGATCAACAACGGATAACGCTCAGCGAAATTGCTGAAGTTGCAGGAATGGGTTGCCATTCAGTCGACCGTAAGCCAACAGCTCATCGCACCAAAGCAAAATCAGGGAAGCAATGACTCTGAATTATAAATCCGTTTAAATTGATTTTTCATATAAAACTATTTATGGTAATCATGAGAATATTTATAAACTGTGATTTTTACAACGATTCTGAAGAAGCTGCAACCAAAGTACAGCTCTAAATATTCGAAGGAAAAACAAAATATCTGAAAAATCTTTTAAAAAAGTATGATTTTCGGATCTCTGATAAGTGGATAGTTTAGTTGCACATATTCCTGGCTCACAATAAATTTGCCATCTACCTCGGTATTCAGCAAATATGATATCAAGGAGAATAAATGAGAGCATAAAAAAATAATAATAGTAATAACAAAACAAAAAGCAAAAAAAAATGGAGAAAAAAAACAGTACTAAAATGAAAATAAGATATAATAAAAAAAAAATAGTACAGCAAGCAGCTTAATGCAATAAGTCTCTTGGCCAGCATATCTGGCAATAGATAGAGCTTGTGTGAGTGGATTTGATGAAAAGAGTGTTAAGGTCAGTGTGTAACGTAAGGTTTGAAACATAAAAGGGTGCGTCTACAATTTTCCGAAGCACTTTTGACTGGAATGACTGGCGTCTCTGGATAAGAGGAGAGTATAGTTTCGAAAAGGTAACAAAATTCAAGTACCAAAACACTATCGTCACGGAAAATAGAAGATTAAAGTCATTAACGGAAAAATTAAAGCCACAATTGAAAATGGCAGCAAATTTCTTCTAAATCGAAACATATCTCGAGGAATCAAAGCAAGAATATATTATCGACTAGTAGTGATGTATGCCAGCGAGGTGTGGACTCTTACGAATATATAAGTTGGCGGAATTCGGAACTAGAACTTTTCTAAATGAAAAATTTCAATTAAAGGTTCTATAAAACTTTTATTTTAAAAAAAGTTTACTTAATATTTCTGTTAAGATAATCCATTTGAAAAATAATAATTGTGTAGTAGTTTATATAATATGAGACGCAAGAAATTAATACATTTTTTTTTTAAATTGCCAAAAAGGTTTCAATTCCTGCTTAAAACACTTAATATATACTGGACTGTACACCAATATACTGAAGAAATAAAAACTATATAGAAGAGTATGAAAATATAGAAAATAATTTTAGATAATTATTTTCAAGAATCAACCATTGTGATCGAAAAATTCAAAAACTTAACCCTCACTCAAAATTTGAGGTTTCACGTTTCAGGATGCGTAGAATTCGAAAAACGAGTAAATTTTTTTTTAACCGTCCGCCGTCCGCCCGTATTCTCCGAAACTATTCTCGTATTCTCCGATTTTTTTCAAATTCGGATATAAAATCAAAGATTACTCGAGGATGATTCACCTTCATCGACATTACTCTCCGCCTTTTACTTTCAAAATGGCGGTCGAAAAACCTGCTTTGCTATAGACTCTAGCTCCTAAACGAGTTTACCGATTTCAATGAAACTTCGCTAAAGTCATTTTCTCGACGACCTTTAAATTTATCCATATTACATACTTCAACGAAAAGAAGCTGGAAAAAAGTTACGAGGGATGGTAAAATAAAATTCCGAATAACTCAAAAAGTTTACACTTTTTTGTAGATATTGTATATTGGTTTTTAAAACTTTACGAAATTTCCTAAAAAAAAAAAATCGGACAATTAGGAGCAAAGATATGGTCTCCGGTTTTTTTTTTATATGTTCTACTCCAAATGTTATATCCTTTGTTTGGTTTTTAAATTTTTAATGTGTTACTGAAGTAATGCTACTTTTTTTTAACATATTACTAATGATTAAAAAAAAAAGTATAGTTCAATAATTGAAATCATCGTTTATTTATTTTTCTTTGTAACTAGGAAGGTAATGTTATTTTAGATGTATAATGTTCGGAAATAATAAACCATTGTGAAATAATTTGCAGTGTTTTTAAGTCGTTTGAAATATTACGATAATTATTTTGAAAGTTGAAAAATATATATATATTTGTAGAATTTATATTTCTGATTTTTAACCTAAATGGCATGAAATAAATCTTAAAAGAAAATTAAATGACAAATATCTTATTTTTATTTAGCATATTAGCTAATGATTAAAAAAAAAAAGTATAGTTCAATAATTGAAATCATCGTTTATTTATTTTTCTTTGTAACTAGGAAGGTAATGTTATTTTAGATGTATAATGTTTGGAAATAATAAACCATTGTGAAATAATTTGCAGCGTTTTTTAAAGTCGTTTGAAATATTACGATAAAATATATATATTTGTAGAATTTATATTTCTGATTTTTAACCTAAATGGCATAAAATAAATCTTAAAAGAAAATTAAATGAAAAATCTTAATTCTATTAGAATTTCGCTGTGATTTACAAGAAATATAAACAGGCTAAATGAAACGAGTAATTAAAATATACGACATAAGATAAAGAAGACATGAAAAGCCCATTTGAGAGAGGGAGAAGCGAAAAGAGATAATTAAGGAATACAAATAAGGCAGAGACATTAATAAATGTGAAAATATAGGAACGTGTGATAACCTCCATTCTAGGAGCGATAACCTCCACATATTTATATCGTATTAGTCCTTTATCTTATCGATAACGTCTTTTAGGCTTTTTTTTTTTCATGTCCTTTATTATATCCCTCTTGAAGGCTGCCTTATTGAGTTATATTATTTATTTCATTCGACCTCTTTCGGTATAAATAAATAAACTAGGAACCGTATGGAGCTGACAAATTATGGTGGTTTTATATGGTTAATTTTTTTGGTCTAGAGTAATTATCGATAATATTTTAAACTGGGAGCTGGTACTAATAGTAAGTAACCCAGATGAATTTCGGCATATCGTCCTCCCCAAAGGCGATGCCACAAATTAGCTAATTTATAATTTTGGGAAAACCATTTGAACTTTCAAAATGTAAGATTCTGATTCAAGTGATTTAGCAAGTTTTTTTATTTATTTATTTTTTTTTTTTTAAATGATATTTACAACTGTATACAAAATATACATCTAGTAAATTTGCACATTGGTATAAAGACATGGAACACATGTTGAGAAACTACCCATTGGTAGCACTCTAATAATATGTCTATATTAGAAGATCACGTGGCCATCTTCTTTTCAGACGCCTCGGAGGGTTATCAGGAATCGAATCGGAAGCGAGGTTAGAGACAAGAGGGTTGGGATGGTTATGAAGTTTGTTATGGAAGGACAGATATCTGGATTGGGCCAAATCTGATACATAAGGAACATTAAGGTCATTATGGATAATTTTATTTGTAACAAAGTAAGGAGCATTGAGGATTTTACGAAGGATTTTGGATTGCAAGGACTGTATGCGAGAGGAATTTGAAGGCTTGGTGGAGCCCCATAGCTCAACCCCGTAAGTCCAAATAGGCCTTATTATAGTCATGTAAATCAGTCTTTTATAATTGATTGGAAGGTTAGAGCGTTTGTCTAGTAAGTGTTGAAGTAGTCGGAAACGTCGAGCGGTTTCTTGTCGTTTCAGTCTGGTATGAGGATTCCAAGTTAGACGTTTGTCCAGATGGAGTCCTAGGTAACGGATTTGTTCAACAGGAATAAGTGAGGTGTTGTTAAAGGATACTGAAGGACAGGAAGTCATTGGTTTACGACGAAGGGTGAAGGTAATTTGATGGGATTTATTGGAATTTATTTTAATTCTCCAGTTCTGACACCATTCTTCAAGGTTTGTGATGTAGGATTGAAGGGTTTGGGATGCAATAGATGGGTCGTTATTGACTGATAGGATACATGTGTCATCAGCATATGTGGTGATGACAGTGTTGGGATGGGTTGGGATGTCAGCTGTATAAACTGTGTAAAGGATAGGACCTAGGATACTACCTTGAGGAACACCTGCAGACTGGGAAAAACGGGATGTATATACATTGTTGTGATTTACTTTAAAGTATCTATCAGTAAGGTAGGAACGGATAATGAGGAAGTAGGTAGATGGTAGGAATTTTCGGAGTTTGTACAGCAGTCCCGGGTGCCAAACTCTATCAAACGCCTGTTCAACATCGAGAAAGGCTCCCGTACAGTACATACCGCGCTCCAATGCAGAGGATACTACGTCTACCACACGATGGCATTGCTGTATAGTGGAATGGGAGGAGCGGAATCCAAATTGGTGATCTGGGATTATGTGATTAGAATCTAGGATTGGGTACAGGCGTTTTAAGATTAGTTTTTCCAGGATTTTTCCCATGATGGGTAACAGAGAGATGGGACGGTAAGAGGCTGGATATTCTGGTGGCTTTTTGGGTTTGTGGATCATTTTGACAATAGGTATTTTCCAAGGATCAGGGAAATGATTTAGCAAGTAAATAATAATTTAATAAGTATATGATCTAACAAGTTTAATTTTTTTTAATTTGCGATTTCGCCTTATTAGGAAGCTAGGAAAAACAATTAAAACATTGTTAAACTTAAAATTTAAATTTATTAATAAAATTTTAAAAAATATCTAGTATGTCAACTCACAAGACTTTCCTACTGAATTCAGTCAAATTTAAACCACTATAAATTTGTCAATCCTATATATTATTTCTAAAAGATGTTTTTTTTTGTCGGTACGCCGTAACTTCGTCAATTCTTCATCGAATCCAATGATTGACCACTCATTTTGAAGATATTCTTCTCCTTCACATGCGAAAAATAGAACTATTCCCCCTAAATTTCCGGGAAAAAAGTTATGAAGGAAAAGAAACTTTATTTGCGAATATTCAAAAAGTATACATTTTTTTGTCTGGATTGTACCCATGATAATTAGAAAGATTACTAAATTACCTATAAAACAAAAACAAAAAAAATCGTAAAAATCGGACAAAGATACAGTCCATTAGTTTTGGGATACTTAATAATATCTTCCGATTTAAAGATATTGCATTTAGGAATAGAATAGTCTACTACATTTTTTTTTCCTGGCTGATATATTAACTTTATTATTTCTTAAAGAAATT